ACATGTACACTATTTTTATTAATGAGATTTCGCTACTGAGGTTAAACATGATATATAAGTCACGATTAAATCGGTTTGCTGTGATTAAAGTTCAGCTTCATAACATATTACTCACAGTTTAATTAAGAGGGGACGGCAGTAAAAACTCTGGACCTGTGACATCATCAAGTACGCTGGTGTTCCAATTGTACAAATTGCGAGTCCGTGCTCGCGTTCTTGAGAATTGAGAAAGGGCCCTGGACTTCTTACTGATTTTGCTTCAGCTACTGAATCTTAGCAGCAGTGCCTAAAAACATAACAGCAAAAATCAAGCAGCATCTGACCAGAAAACTGAGAATTTGAGCCAAATGCTGAGCGTCTCCTTTAGCTGCGGTTTGGTCTCCACTCTCTCCAGTTCATCTGCACTCGCTCGCTCGACTCTAAACTCTGCAGTTTGCTGCTGAGCAGGTTGTTGAAGCATGCATGACGAAAACAGTGGAGAAAACCATAAACTTAAAGTCTCATTGGAGAAACACGAGACCCGATGGGTAAAACTCGCTGACAAATCCTGTTTATTTTGGTCTTTTCTCGTAAAGTCACGCTGTCAGACTTCCTGACATTTCTGCAGCACTGCTTAAACATGAGCAGGGCATTATGGGATAAAATGGTGCTCCAGTGATGCAAAAATCCTTTTATCTCACATGTGAGTGAATCTTAAGGTTGTGCAAGAATCGGTGGTCACACTGGTCCTTAAATGGTGCAACAACCAAACACACACTCTGCAAAGTCACACTAAATGACTCTACAAACTGAAACCTAACCTTGGTTTAGATTTAAGTGAGTTGTTCTGGTGACTTTATATCCCTGTGAGAAGCAAAAGCACATGTCACACACAGAGGGCATCGTTTACCATCAGCAGGTCGTTGAACAGGAAGACTTCTCTCTGGTGGACGCCGCTCCTCTGAGCTCTGTTTGGATCGGGAACCTCGAACAGCTGACAGCAGCACACCAACCTGCGATGAGGCAGCGACAGCACCTGCAACACGCACACAGACAGACACACACTTCTGTGACCTGCCCTGTATCAAAAGGTTATTATGTACTAAAAAAGAGGCAGGGATAAAAAAAGAGCATACTTGTAGTTAAATGCAATGATTTATGTTAAAGCATGTCGGATTTTTGATCTCTGAAATGTGACTGAATGACTGTGAGCAGATTTATGTCCCTGCAACATAAAATCAACTATATTCTCATGCATAACACAGATAACATTCCTGACACTGATGTGGGACCTGCAGAGTCACATTGTCAGTGCACTGAGTGATAACTCAAGACTACGGATGGTGGAACATACACAGTTTTATCCTGTCACTTAAAAAGTCATTATTGATGCCAATTTAGTTATTTATAGCTATGGTGTTGTAATAATAACAGTAATTACAT